TATATATATAACCTTAAAAATCATAAATACCTTGTTTTGTTCCATAAAATAGTGCAATTTCCTGATTAATACATTTAGATGTTCACTATGTTCCATTGTGAATGAAATGTGGTTTTAAGAAGTTTGCAAATCATTGCATTTTGTTTTCTTTTACATTTTATACAACTAAACATCATCTCCAAAATGATTGATGGGGAAAAAAAACTTCTTGAAGAACTCATCTCAGACAGAAGAGAAGGGGAAGGAGTCAATTGCATTATAACACCAGGGCCCTGGACTTATGAGGGATTGTGGATCATATTGCAAGTAAATATGAGAGCTATTGATTTTAACTGCACTCACACCTGCAGTACAACATCCATCAACAGAGGCAACGCAAGTCCACCTTTAACCTCCTGTTATTTACGTAATGGCTGTTGTTCAGCAGTGATCGGGGGCTGATGAGTCCTGTAAAAAAGGCGTTCAGGATGAAGCATTTATAGAACACAAGTGATGGGCTCAATGTGTCGCAGTGATATGAAGAGGTGCTGCACATTGAAAGATGTAATGGTAAGCCAAAAATCAATTTCAAAATGAATGAAAATTGGGTTAACAAAGTGGCTGTCTGTGCAGCCTCAGTGGAAAACAAAATATAGAGTATATCTGGGCCTGAATGAACTTCAACGCTCTAAATCGGAATGAAACAAACTCGCACAAGTTGGTGCACTGTCCTCAGGGCCTTAGCTAGCCTTCCTCTGGATCGGAAACAAGCAAGGTGCGCTTCCAGTTTCTGCCCTCCTCACTCACCCTCTCCCTGGCAGGAGGTAGACTTTTACAAAGGGATCGGAGAAGCCGTTGCTGTCCCGCGGCGCAAGGTTTCTGGCCTGCAGGACGTGAACTATCAAGTTGCCGAGCTGCTTGTCATAGTGGATTTGAAGCTGTAAAAGGAAACAACACATTTTGGACGTGTTCTGAAGCACTGAACGACACGTTAAAGTTTGACGCTTTGTTTCACACACCTGTATCTCTCCAGAGACGGGGTGGGACTGGGTCTTGGTTCCATCTGAGGTCTGAAAGATGTTAAACGTTAAAGTTAATCCATCATGAGCTCTTAATGTTGTAAAACCGATTTGTGATTTTGTGAAATCTCAGTAGAGCAGTTCTAAAGACGTCCTAATGGGACTGGCCTTGCTGCTGTGGCGCTTCTTGCTGACAGAGGGGGATCCTGGCTGAGCGGGGCTGGACGTCGCAGAGGTTGGGGCGGGGAGAGTGGAGGAAGAGCCGGACATGGGACCCTGCTGCTGTGACACTTTCTGCAGCTCAGCCGCCAGCTGTTTGGGATCCACACCTGGAGACCTGGGAGGTCTGTCCCCTATAGGTTCGCACATGCAGTCAGAAACAACCAACGAGGCAAACGAACGGCTGTTACATTTATCTTTCTAGCTCAGGATTATAACTGGATACATGGTTAGGCATGTGGGATTATGTACATAACGTTTAACGGATAATCATGAGCAAGGTCCGTTAACTGGACCGTGAACATTTTAAGGGCTGCACTTAAAATAAAACAAGACAATTCATAGCAAAACAATGTAAACCTAAAAGCAACACTGAAAACATAAAAGCCATTAATTAAAATGTAAATAAACAGAGGAAAAAGCAATTATTATAAGGTTGGATTTACCAAAAACCAGTCCAACCTACCTTTGTTGTGCTCATGAAGGTCCAAGTGGTGAGAATCCTCCGACTCAGCCAGCATGTTAAGATCACTAAGAAAAAAATTAATAAATAGTAAAATAAAACGTAAAAATGATAGGAAGTACAGTAAGAAAAAAACAAAAGCCCCTAAAMCCTATTAAGCACTATTAAGATAAATTACTAGAAAACTARTATAAATCTGAAATAAAATATAAATCTATTATTGAATTGAATAGATAAGAACTAAAACCTGTGAAGAAAGAGATTAAAAACAGTTAGACAAACATAATTGTTGAGGAAAACACAGGCGAGTAAATGAAGGGGTCAAAGGTCACACTCACAGTCTGARGCAGACTTCTGCCTCGTTACACAGCTGACCCACGAGTCCCTGCACTTCCTCGTAGGTTTTCCCCGTCAGAGGAACGCCGTTCCACTCCAACACTTGCATTCCTATGAACAATTTACCACCCGGAAAACAACAACACAAAACACAGCGTCGAGTCTGTTTTTCCTCTCATATTTGGCACATTGCAAACATTTCACTTCACACCACCAAAACAGTTAAACCTTGGAATTACCTTGTTAAGTGACAGAAGGTTTCAGTTTATCATATGAGCCAGAAAGAGATCACTTATCTTTTACATTTGCAAAGGCARATGTTTTTTTTAAAGAAATGTCAGCTCACACAGATCCACTCCAAACAGCAAGGAACACTTCTTCCTAAATAAAACCCACCCTGCATGCTGGCAGGACTTACACAGTTTGAAGCAGCGCATCAGAAGGGTCTTCTGTTTGCGGCGGTGCTCTGGAGCTGCGTGAGTGGGATTTGACAGGAAAAGCTACACTGGAGTTTCAAACCGCTCACACTCGTCACATTGGTAACACTTCACGGAAGAGGCTGAGCGTTCGGCACTCAGACAAATTCATCCGCGCGCGCCTCTCCTCTGTGACACTGAGCCTTCTACGCCTGTTGAATCTGACAGCATCCCTCTGCATTCACACCGAAAGAGAGATGGCGAGGCGCGGCGCTCCCACTGGCACGAGCGCCTACTCTGCGGCCGTTCTGCTCCGTGCTGATGACGGTGATGTGGCTGTTATTGGGGCTTAGTTGTCCTTGCAGCGAGCAACATGACAGATGCAACTTGGCTCTTGGACTGAGGCAACCACAAACACTGTCACGTCATTATAAACCGTAACGATTTCCTTTAGATTTAGAATAACAAAGGCGAGCATCTGAAACCATATGGAGACAGAGGCCAGACCTAAAACATACGATACAGGTGAAAGTGGCCTGGAATATTCCTCTCACTGCCTACAGATCACCAGTTTGGCAGTTTTCCAATGATCCAGGCCACGGTGTTACCAGCTGTCTGCCTACCCCCGCAAGTGAAATCAATAACACCTCATAAAATGCGTCCCACCTAATACACGTCACAGCACTATATCCTCAGGTGATGTCAGTGTGAGCTCTCTAAAGGTGAAATCACAGCTAATAAATCTGGGGGTTAAAGCATAACGGTAACGTGGTGACTTGGGAAACAGCGATCTGCAACCAATCCAGTTTTCGACTGACATAAATAGAAGAATTATGCCAGTTTGTATGTTAAAAGCATAAAATATGACGCTACAGTTGAGAGTAAATTGAATATTTCTGGCCTTTTTTACTGACAGGCCAGACACAAACTATCGCTTAAGGCATATCTTGATTGTGTCGTGAACAAATCTGTAAACAAATCTTCCAGCATTCCCATGCAGTGGTTGGGCACATCTTGGGGTTGTTTTGCCTGATTTGTTCTGGCATACTGACATCCTTACCAAAGGGAGAGACACTCTGGGTATTCCTGGCAGCTACAAATCTCTTACACTTTTTCTTTCCACACGAAGGACGAAGCATCTCTGCTTTTCATTGTCATTGGGTGAATGCCTGTTAAGGCACTCAACCTACTGATTTCATGTTTCTCTTTATTCTTTATTCCTCGGTTTCTTCCGTATGTTTTTTTGGACTCTAACTCCTACCGCAATTTTTGCGGTACTTCAACAATTCATACATCAAAACGTTCAGCTCATTCAGGAATGGTGTGCTATGACTTTTGGTATTTCAGCTTCTTTTACTTTTTTAGCTATTTCACTTTTTCGGCTACTTTTTTGCCATTGAAAATGAATGGGGCTATTTTCAACAACCTTAAAACCTTTCAAATAGCTTTTGAATCTTTACAAAACCTTACACAAATTGTTCTGGTTATGCTCTATTTTACTACATTATGCAAATTTTAGCTACTTTATGCCAATTTTAGCTACTTTTATGCTAATTTTAGCTGTTTTCTGCTATTTCAGCTAAAATTCTACTTCTTTTTGCTATTCTTCTGCCTTTTTCTGCTACTTTGTGCTAATTATGCTTCTTACAGTTGGTTTCTGCTATATTCAGCTACTTGCTGCCATTTTAGCTAATTTTTGGCTGTTATTAGCTAAAGTTAGCATTTTATGCTAAATACATATTTTTTTGTAGCTTTGACAACTTTTTTCTGCTAAATTCAGCAAACTTGTGCTCGTTATGCTTCCTTATGCTAACTAAAACACTTGTAGCAAAATTTTTAGCTGTTATGCTAAAAACTTCGGCTGTTTTAGCATATTTGCCAGAAATTATCCCTTTTTAATAGTTTTATGCAGTTTTTTTTCCCAAGTTTCATTTTTTACAACTTTTTCAACATCTGGTTGCCAATTAATACTAGTGTCTACAACATTTAGCTTATAATTATGCTAATTTTAGCTACTTTATGCTAATTTTAGCTGTTTTTTGCCCTTTCTGCTAAAATTCTGCTTCTTTTTGACATTCTTCTGCCTTTTTCTGCTACTTTGTGCCAATTATGCTTCTAACAGATGCTTTCTGCTATAGTTAGCTACTTGCTGCCATTTTAGCTAATAATTTGCCTTTATTAGCTAAAGTTAGCATTTTAAACTAAATACATTATTTTTAGCTTTTACAACTTTTTTCTGCTAAATTAAGCAAACATCTGCTTCTTATGCAACTAAAACGCAACTTTTTAGTTGTTACTTTCAAATTTAACTTATAATAATAATTTTGCTAATTCAGCTCAATTTCAGCTTCTTCAGCAGCTTTCAGCTTACATTTTCAGCAACAGGCATGCACACTTGCATTTTTGCAGGAAATGCAATTTCTCTAGTTATCGTTACTTTTCTCAACTTTTACTTCTGCTGTGACAATATTACAATACGGTTTTATTTGCTTTTATGACAAAGGTGTGTGAAATGTAGTCAAAGATCCTACCTTCAAGAACTTTTCCTGTTTGTTCGGCAGCTCCACCAGGCAGGACTTTGGCAACATAAGCTCCAATGTCTCCATTACTACCAGGGACCTCTTTTCCTCCAACTATACGGATACCTAAACCATTTCCTGTTGATCCACAAAAATAACAAAGTGGCTGATGAGTGGCATCATTATGTAATCTACAATCTTCCCAGAAGAAAATAAATTAAAGGCTTTTACATTAATGCTGGGTATGTATCAAAAGTTGTGCATCAATGAATTCCTCATTGATACATTTGAACACATTTTTCCTTAAAACTGGAAGCCTGAGCTGATAAATGTGACATAAAATGACCTACAGTCTATTTTTTTAATGCAAAACCAGAACCTCAGACATTTTATGCAATGACACTATTAAACATGGTAATTGAAGCAAGAACACTGAAGCAAATTTACTGTAATCATTTAATGTGTCTATGATTTCTTTTATTATGGACTGTTTCTTAATCACATAGGATAATCCTAAGTGTAAAAATTATGCCATTTTGAGGATGGCAATGACTGATGAGCCAAACCAAAAAGAAAGCCAATACATGTCTGAGATCTTTAAGCCTGAAGGAATTGTGGGAGAATTATAAGCAAAGCAAATGAAATGGATGATAAATACAACTAATGCTCTGTAAACCAATCAGGGTTCATGATGAGCACATTTTACCGTTCACATCCTTCTTCATTACCTCTCTTACTCTATGAAAATATGTTTATCAATAATTCTACTAATTTGAAGAAAAACTACGTAAAAGCTTTAAACAGTATGAACACTATAACAGCTTTGAGCAAAATGCGTTTGAAAGCATGCAGTCAGTAATGTTAGCTTGCAAGGCATGATCCTGTGAGCTGACCTTTTCCCCACACCTATCCCTGCATGCATTTTAACTTTGACTTTACCTGAGACGCTGCGGTCTTTGAGATCCCGCTGCAGTTTGACCCTGAGGTGAGGGAACGGATAGTATGGACCTTTTCCCTGCAGCCCAAACACAGTGAAGAGATGTTAATCACCTTGTCTCGGTATACGCACCCATGGTATTCTAAAACTGCTGAAAGCACTTTATTATTATTATTTTTGCTTAGATTTGAGATTTTGCATCTAAAAAATTACTTCTAGAAGCAAATCCTTCGATCATATAATACCCAAGTGAAGATTTTTGGCCATAACGGGCAGGCTACCCAAAAACCAATCACAACATATCTACAAACACCTATAATGAAATGTGAAACATTTTTTAGAAGAGTGATGGCTTGGCTGGGCCAGGATGCCTTCCTGTCATTAACGCAACCATAAACCCCTCTGTATACCAATGTACTTTAAAGCCAACTGTGGCACCATCTGTCCAACACTTGAAACTTGGCAGAAACTGAGACACAAAACCAGACATTAAGCCAAAAAAAAAAAAATACTGGAAAATATAGTTACTGAGGAACAAATGAACTGAGGCTTTTCAATGGCTCAGTCCAAGTCCAGACTTCAAACTACTGTAAATGTAGGGAGATTTTAAAATCGTTCTACTTCAACCCCTAAGGGGATCAGAAAAGTATCTATACAGCGGATAAAATAAGTATTGAACATGCCACCATTTTTCTCAGTAAAAATATTATTAGAGGTGCTAATGACATGAAATTTTCACCAGATACCAGTAACAACCCAAGTGATCCATACATACAAAGAAATCAAACCATAAATGTCCAGAAATGAAGTTATTTGTAATAATGTGGAATGGCACAGGGAAAAAGTATTGAACACATGAGGAAAGGGAGGTGTAAAAAGKCATGGAAAGCCAAGGCAACAGCTGAACTCTCAGTAATTAGAAAGCAAGCCTGCCCCTTGTCAGTGCAAGTTAATATCAGCTGGTTCAGTCCCAAATGATGGCCAGGTATCACACAAGAACCATCTGATGATGGGTAAAAGTAAAGAGCTCTCTCAAGACCTTCACAACCTTCTTGTTGCAAAGCATAATGATGGCATCGGTTACAGAAGAATGTCTAAACTTCTGAAGGTTCCAGTGAGCACTGTTGGGGCCATAATTCAGAAGTGGAAAGAACATTATTTCACCATAAACTGACCACGACCAGGTGCTCCTCACAAGATTTCTGACAGAGGAGTGAAAAGAATTATCAGAAGAGTTGTCCAAGAGCCAAGGACCACTTGTGGAGAGCTTCAGAAAGACCTGGAATTAGCAGGTACGATTGTTTCAAAGAAAACAATAAGTAATGCACTGAACCACCTGTCTGGTCAGATGAGACCAACATTGAACTGTTTGGATGCCAGAATACACATCATGTTTGGAGGTCAAATGGCACTGCACATCAGCCCAAAAACACCATACCAACAGTGAAGTTTGGAGGTGGGAACATCATGGTGTGGGGTTGTTTTTCAGCAAATGGTACTGGCAAACTTCAAATAATTGAAGGAAGGATGAGTGGAAAAATGTACAGAGACATTCTTGATAAAAATCTGCTTCCATCTACCAGGATGATGAAGATGAAATGTGGCTGGACATTTCAGCAAGACAATGAGCCCAAACACAAAGCCAAGGAAACTCTCAGTTGGTTTCAGAGAAAGAAACTAAAGCTGCTGGAATGGCCCAGCCAATCACCTGACCTGAATCCAACAGAAAATCTATGGAAAGAACTAAAGATCAGAGTTCATAGAAGAGGTCCACGAAACCTTCAAGATTTGAAGACTGTTTGTGGAAGAATGGGCCAAAATCACACCTGAGCAATGCATGCCACTAGTTTCTCCATACAGGAGGCGTCTTGAAGCTGTCATTGACAACAAAGACTTCTGTACAAAGTATTAGATAAATTTCAGTAAGTGTGTTCAATACTTTTCCCCTGTGCCATTCCACATAACTTCATTTCTGGACATTTATGGTTTGATTTCTTTGTATGTATGGATCACTTGGGTTGTTACCGACATCTGGTGAAAATTTCATGTCATTAGCACCTCTAGTAACATTTTTACTGAGAAAAATGGTGACGTGTTCAATACTTATTTTACCCGCTGTATATCCATCCATCAATCCATAACTACAGTAAACACAGAGTGCCAATGAASACTGTTTAAAAGACCGGGGGCTAAAATTCCTCCTCAACAATTTGACATGTTTTATTGTTCTTTTTTGTAATTATGTAAATTTAAGGTTTGGCAAGGACCAAATAAGTATGCAAATAAATTAAAGTATCTGTCCTGTTTTACCTGTCTCTTTTCCTGTCCATTCTCTGGCCGTCCATCTCTTGGTTTGTCAAACCAGTCTGTCTCCTCTCGTCTAAGGTGGTAGGCTTCAGGAATGAAACACAAGCACTGCTTCAAAAACCAATCAGTAGATCCGGGTGCTTACACCCTACTCACAAATGGATTTTGTATTTGTAAAAGGGATTGCATGCCATTAGCCAAAATTCAAAGTGTTAAATGTGAATGACAGAAACAAAGACATGAGGACAGCACAAGAGGGAATAAAAAAGTTTGTGGAAAAAAAGCAGAAAAATAAAGCAGTTTGAAGGCTAATAAAACACATTTAATATGGTACACATTTATATTCTAAACATGTAGGGCAGAAAATTTCCAAGAATGTAAATATTGAGTATACATACTGTATTATTAATGTTCTTTAATTAAAAGTTAACATTTCCACCAAAACATTCTTTTGTATTAAATCAGGACTTTAATTTTATGTTTATCTTGCCCAACATTTGGAAGGTGTGCATTTGTGTTAGCAGGTTAATATATGAATTAATAGATAACTAATAGTAATACTCTACCATTAGCTGCATCGTCTCTGTTCAAAGCCATCAGGGAATCACTTAGAGCTGGAATCAGGACAAATTGTTTTGTAAAGTGAAATAAGTGGAATTAGCATTCTTACAAATTTTTATCACACAAAAAAATAACAGTTCTGTGTTTTAAAATTGAACAGGTTTATGGTGCTTTGTAGTAAAGAACAGATTCATAATTTTTCATGTACTCCTATGTCAAAACTGCAAATGTAGGCGCAAGTATTTTAATACTACTACTACTAATAATAATTATTATAATAATATATTTTAATATATTATGTGGGTAAATTAATCTCATACAACCATATAAACTGCCCCTTGTGCAGTTGTTAGATAGAAAAAATCTGTAATCTGCAAATGTCTCTTAGACGTACAGTTCTGTATAAAAATTTAAAACCATCCTTCACTTCTTTATGTTTTGCTTTCAAGAAGCCAGACTTTCATGCAACCTTTTAAAGTGGTCTTGATCAAAACTTCTGGCTTTCTGAAGGTCTTTCAGAGTTTTTCTTTGAACTTGGGCAGTTTTATACTCTCTGTCCAGCCCTTATACCTATTAAAAGATTTTTATGCAGGAGATGGGGGCCATCAAAGATTAGATACAGGACCAGAAAGTCGCTTTATGTAAGCTACATTTACAGCTAAATGCTTCATGGAATCACTTTGGTGTGCTACATTATTTTTTATGTTATCTTTGGAACTTTTTCATAGACTGAATGACAGAAATAGCACCAAAAAGTGTGATAGTGAGACTGTAACGAAGTGCCTAAGTAGGCACTAAGTTTGGAAGCATAGTGGCTTGTGGGTTAGCACCTGGGGTCTTTCTGTACGGGGTTTTATAGTCTCCTCATGCTTGCGTGGGTTTTTTTTCTGGGTACTCTGGTTTCCCCCACAGACCAAAAACATGTACTTTGTTGCTTTCAGGCCCAGGCCTCCCTTGCAAAAGAGATCTACAATCTCAGTCGGATTTGTGTTGTAAATAAAAAGCTGTTTGTCATATTTTGCAAAACACTGATTCATTCATTGATTTGTAAAGCTGTTTTATGTCTGAATGATTCTGAGGTAAGATTAAGTGGGCTAACAAACAAAAAGTCTTTCAAATGTTCATGTATTGAATAGTCAATGTCGTAAGAAAACTAGTGAAAGAGCACCAGAAAGATTCTTTCAAAAGTCTGACTTCCTGAACATAAAATGGAAACAATAAAAACACTTATCTGTACAGCACTATATATTAAAATAGCAGCTAAATACTTATCTTGATAATGTGCTTTATGGTTATATTTTTGAGTAAAGTAAGAAACTTGAGGATGACAAAAATTAACTGTTTCAGGCAGGTTAAGAAAGGGGTTCTCTATACAAAAGAGTAACCCCTCTTGGTGTATACTTGTAACTTGTCAGACCTGTTGCATCTGCTACATTCTCAAAAAAAATTTTTTTTTAAAGACAATGGAAAAAAAAATCCGATGACATAAAATGACTCCTTTGAATTTCCATGGGAATCCAGGTGGTATTCTTTAAAAATGAGACATATGGTTGTAAATCAATTGCAACTGATAAAAGAGCCCACCAAGCACCAAAACAAATAGGAGAAAAAGAACAGAGAAAATTCAAGCACCAAAAATCTGTTGGTATATCACACCGAAACACAAACATTTAAGACAGGACATGCAAGGTAAAGTTTTATATTTATTGCACACACAAACATGTTGCCACCAATCATGATGCATTTTGATAAAAAAAAAAACAGGTCCCTTGGGACTATTTTTCACATTTTTTTCGAAGAATGCCACTAATCTTCAACTGAGTGTTACATTAAACAATTTGCATTAAATCTCAATTATCAAATCTGAATTTAATTTTCAGCTAGAAGCAATGATAAGGAGATATTTCAAAAATGACTAAATTCTGGCTCAATTGAGCAAATACAGGAGGCTTTTTTTCCCCTTTTTTTCCAAATGTAACCTAACTTTTAAAAGGTTTATTCTGCTTGTGTAGTCTAAAACTTTGTATATCATGCAGGAGTATAAAATATAATTCAAGATGAACACAAAATAACATGCTTTAAATTAATAAACACTTTAGTAAAGGAAAACTTCCCCACAACATATAGCTATAACTTAAAGTTTGCACAATGGCATGCAGCATAGTATAATTTTGCAGTTTGTGGAAAGAAAAAAATAGTTTCAAGTCTACAAAAGAAACGTTACAAAGACATGCATGCACACAAGATCTTTTCATGCAGATTTGATTTACTGGCACTAGAAAATAATAAGAACATGCAGACTTTGAGTTAGTAAAGATGATAATTTTATATAAGTGCAAAATACATGCAGTGCAAGCATGTGTTTATAAAATTCTGAAAATGAAAATAGTTTTAGTACGTTTTTACCTTCACTATCTGACATTGTGCCCTGAAGATCGTCCAGCAGTGCATAACCCCTACCCCTGGTTGGTTCTTCCCTTATGTGTTGCTGCTGTTGTGAATCCTGTAAGGACAGGCAAGAACCAAACTGGTCCCTTGAGTCAGCTGAAATAGGGGGCAGAGGGCCAGCTGATGCCCGTGCCATGCCCATAGGCTGTCCAACAGGACTCAGTGGACTCTCTTCCTCTGAGTTCTGGGCCACTATAGGTATTCGTCCACGGCCACTTTGCACAATGGGAAGGCTAGTGGGTTTGGTGCGACCAGAAGGGGTTTGATAACTTGGACCATCTCCAGATGTTTCTCCATCTCCTTTAAGCCTCAATGAAGAACTTGAGAGATCCCTTTTAATTGACAAGTCCAGGCCATAGCAAGACGTAGGCCTTGATGATGGTCTTGAACGACTACCGCTGGGATAGGCCGAGTCTAAACCCAAGCTCTGACTCAAGTTTAGTGACCCAGCCAAGTTGGCCCCCAAGGTTGACCCAAGGTACTTTTGTTGCTCTGCAATATTTTTCCGAAGACCAAAGGTAATCTCATCCTGCATGAGCCGACTTGATCTTGGGGATGCACTGGTGGATCCCAGATAGCTGGTATAATCAGTTTCTAATCCTCGGCTATCTGTGATAGATGAATACTTGGAGACTTTAGGCTCTAGTAATGGAGTTTTATGTTTTTGGTACAACATAGATGCAGGAAGTTGTTTGGCTGCCTGCTTCTCAAGAGTAAGTCGACTGATGCTGTACTTATCCGACTTGGGATAATGCCTTTGGGAATAACTGGAAATACTAGAGCTTGGGGTATAATAGTGTTGGGAGAGACCTGTCAGTTGTTCTAGGTTTTCTGTCCCACCAGTACTTCTTCTAAACTCTTGTTTGAGCTGCTGCTTCAGAAGTTTTAGTTCATAGGGTTCCTCCATTGTATCTTCTTCATCAGGGGCTTTCCCAAAAGTATGGAGTCTGGAAGTAGAGCCCAGGTATTCAGTAGACCCAAGATCTGCAGCACTTCTACGCAACAACTTTTCAGCCTTTGCCAGCTCCCTCTCAACCAAACTATAAGATGAAGACAATCCTGTAGAGGTCTTAGCTAGCTCTGCAGCATCTTCCAGTAGCATATAACTTCGAGGTGTGTGATGATCTACATCTGTATAATAAGAATCAGAGACAGCTGACATTGGGCTTTCTGCTATAGTTCCTACCTCCAAGGCTCTGAGGTCCAGATGGTTACCATATTTGTCATACTTGACACCAAGGTAAGCTGATGATGTGGGATCAGGTTGACGGCTAATGACATCATATTTAGTTGCATCAAGTTCTGAGAGAAGGGCTGCTTGTCTGGCAGCTTTTTGCTGTAACAAAAGCATCTGGTGGTAGCTCTCCTGTTGGGCAGTAGTGAGAGAAGGAACAGAGGAGTAGATGGAATGAGATTGGTAAGACTGTGGTGTTTGATAGATTGACTGCTGGTACTGGCTTTGAGGATATTGGTACTGAGAATATTTTCCATATTCATGCTTGGTTTGAGGCGGGACAAAATCATCAAGTTCTGCATGAGGAGCTGTCCTAGGACGTTCAAGACCAACACCCTCAATTTCCTCATCGTCACCGGCTTCTCGGACACCCCTAGTCTCTCGGATGTTACTAACCTCACTGTCTGACATGTAATCTCTATCCTCTGCAACACTTTGTAAGTAGGCCCTTTCCCTTTTCTCTCTTTCTTTTAGAAGTGCATCTTTTCTGCGGTTAATTCCCATCTCTAAATATCTAAGCTTAGCATCAATCTCTTTCTCTTCTTCATCTAATTCTGCCTGTCTTTTGCGGAGCTTGGAAGACTCGCGCTCCACTAGATCTAGCTCGCGATCAATGTCTTGTAGGATCTTGGCTCGTGCCATGTTAGAATTGCGACACATTCTTCGGCGAGCAGAACCAGTGGTGTATGCTGTCTGGCCACTGGTTGTTGATTCTTCCTCAGATGGTGGATTGGGGAGAGTCCTCTTCACCTTCTTTTGAGTGCCAGTTGGTGTGCCACCTGAGCTTTTTCCCTGTAAGTAAAAGAATGATTTTAGACTTGTAGGAAGTTAATTGAAGAAATCCCCTTAATAAAGAAGCCAATGAGTTACTTGGTGCACATGAAATGAAAACACTTATTCTAAACAATTATTTTAAAATTAATATTTATAAATATTTTATAAAAAATAAAATAATAAAAAATCAGGAGGGTATTATTTAAAATGTATCGACATTACCAGTGAAATGTTTTAGAACACCCTCATTTTTCCAGTTTTTTTATTTGAAATTCAAGCAGCTCAAGTGCAATGAACAGCTTGAAAGCATACAAATCTAAGTACTGAACTGCCAGAGGTTTAAAATATGTAAGGTTACCCAAAACTGAAAGTCAAGGTGTCTGAGAATCCAGTTGTATTCAGCATCACAATAAACTCAGAAACTGGAGGAAACTCTGAAGAGGTGTGGCAGACTCAGAACCAAAACAGCATCAGATGACAAGTTTCTGAGAGTCCACAGCATGTGTGATAGACAGCTCACAAGAAAATCATGTCTAAGGCTTCAGAATAGGAAAAAGAGGCTTGCCTGAACCATGACACACCACCAGTGGACCAGTCAAGACTGGAAGAAAGTGTCGGTGCTGACCGATGAAAATAAATTTGAAATCTGCAGCAGTACATCATGCAAGACTTAGTATAGTTTTTCAGTGTGTGACAACTGTTAAACATGGAGGAAGAAGTGTGATGATCTGGGAATGTCTTGTTGGATCTGGGGTTGGGTCTGCCACACCTCCTCCCATCAGAGTTTCCACCAGTTTTAAGGGCATTGTGATGGTGAAGGAAACTGCACTCTCAGACGCATTGACTTTCAGTTTTGGGTACCCTAACCCTTTTTAAACCTTTGACAGTTCAGCAATTACCTCTGTACCCTTTCTTTTTTGTAGAACATATTCTTTTTTGTAGAATATATTGCATACTTTCATTTACAGTATATAATATAAAATTGAACACGTAAAAACAGTACTCACTGCATGGCCATCACCATACTGGTTGACTGTTGCTCTGTCCTCTCCTGTTGGACTCATGGGCTTAGGGTCAGACATGGACCGCTGAATAGTTTTAAATCCTCTAGGACTTGCTGGAGATGTTTTTGATGGGTCTGTACTGTCCCTTAGCTTTTGTGGGCTTGTGTCTCCTAGTGACTTATCATAGGATGCAAACTCAAGAGATTTGCTAGGTGAAATGCAAGGGGATATGGGGGAATACAACACTTTGGGAGACTTCGGAGGGGCTTGAAGAGAAGAAAACTCTGGTTTAAGGTTAGAGGATTGGGCAATTTCTAGGGGAGTAAGTCGTTTCTTTGGTGAGGTCCTTTCTGAGTCTGACAACTCCATTTTAGTGTCCATTCGAATATTTCCCTCTGAGTCAGTTTGAATAGAAATTTCAGTGTGGGCTTGAAGAGACACCTCTGAATGGCCACCTCTATCACCCCTGGCAGTACGTGGACGACTTTGTCGGCTTCTATTCTGAGCCTCCCATTCTTCTTGATCCTCATCATCAGTCTGCACACAGCTATCAACACTCTTTTTAGCACTTTTCTTTTTTCTTCCTGCTGTGTAAGCTCTGCTAACGGCTTCATCCTCCTCATCTGTCTGGCACCCACTATCAGTGATCTTTCGAGAAAGTACCGTGCCATCGGGCCCCAGGACAATTGCCTCCTGTATGCCATGTCCTGGTATGTCCCCACCTGGGTACATTTGACGAAACTTTTGCTCTTCGAGTTGTAAACGTAGCTGTTCTTGAAGCTTCTGTATCTGCTCAAGTTGTTGCTGCTGCTGTGCATAGGTTTCTTTTTGCAACATGAGGTGAGCCTGTCTTTCTTCTTCCTGTTGTGTCAGTATCTGCTGCTTCATGACTTGCAACTCCTCTAATTCCTTCTGAACCAGGAGCTGCTCTTGTTCACGGAACCGCTGAATCTCCTGTCGCTCCCATTCCAATTCTTCAGCCAGGTGTTGCTGCTTGAGCTTTTCCATTTCTAGCCTCTCGCGTTCTGCCTGATACTGACCATCCCCAGGAATCATGGGAGAGGAAAGAGCCTCCAGTGAAGCAGCTATAGCCTCCAGAGATGCATCAGTATAGGAGTCAAGGGTTAAGGATGTTGCTGCTGTAGTGGTACCATTAACACAAGTAGAAGCCCCTCTCAAGACCTCCAGATTGAGTGGTGCATCTTCTGATGTAGTAGTAGGAATGGTTGACAGAAAACTTTGGGATCGTGTAAGTGGCAAGTTCTGGAGGTTAGACAGGGAAGGCATGGTGTCACTTGTGTGCATACCTGCAACAGCATTATATGTTGTAGTAAATATAGATCCAGGCTGGGTAGTAATTGCATATGTAGATGGTATTGGTGCTGCAACAGATGAATAAACCACTCCATTTGAGGACCTCAAAACACTGGTTGTGCCAAAAAGTGAAGAGACATCACTTGTGACACTGGTTTGTGACTGGGATGGGATTGTCATTCCTGCATAACCTCCTTTCTTGGAGTAGTCAACAGCTTCACCTGTCAAAAATTAAAAGTATATTTTTAGTCCAAATATGGTAGAACGTTATTAAAATTGAAGCAAGCCATGCCTTACCAAATAAAAAAATGATCGAAAGAAAATAAAAGGCGCAGGCACATGCAAAAAAATGATGTTGAACAAAAAAAAAAAAAGAAATTCCATGCAAAGCAAATTCAAAATGGGAAACAAAAAAATGTCACATTAGCCATAAATAAGCGGAGGCACTTCAAAGTGACATTTAAGTGACAGGTCTGCAATGTCACAGCACTGACCTGCATCCGATATCTTTGCCGAGGTGAGATCTACTGCACCTTCTGTTGTGGTAATGAAATTATAGCTGTTCTTACTTTTGTACAGGAATAGACCAGCTTCAGCTAGGTTCGTGTCTGACATAGATGGTTTAATTCCACCAAACCCCCTCATACCATAAGGTGATCGATCATATTGATAATGATCATCACGGTATCCAAAACGATCTTCGGGTAGGGGTGTGGTAGGTTGCTGAGTAGCGCAACTTCCTGCAAATGGGAGTTTGTACACGACATCACAGCATACAGCTCTTTTTCCTGCTGTCAGATCCACTGGTTTGCCATCATCTGTGATTACAGCTGTAACAACATCTGCAGATGAAGCATCCACGGACACCACAGTATTGAAAGGTTTTGTTGTGCTGAGATCAACAGCTCCTGCTACTGTAGTTCTCCCTGTAGTTAGTCCATTGGCAACACAGCCTGCAACAGATGGGGGTCCAATAGTGACCGGAGTGGTTTGAAAACCTCCTATATTTGTGTTTGATCCAATTGAGAGGTTAATTGGAATTTCTGTAGTAACAAGAGTAGATGGCTGAGCATCAACTGGTCGATATATAATTTGAGAAACTGGTTCAAATGCTTTGTTTTTAGTTAGCTGAAGAGGCACTGAAGATGTTTGAGAGATGTCGACATTGTCACATCGCTGAATTGTGGCAGCACAGGTCACAATGGTGATGCTATCAGTGACAATAGAAACAGTGGATGATTCAGGGCTTAGGTTGACCACAGGTGATTGTACTGCACTCTTCTGACGACTGACTTCACTTGTAAAGGACTGACGTCTTGAATCAGGGCCAGTAGACAGATCAACACCATTCATGTTTGAGTCAGAATCCACTTTCACAGTTCTAAGATCAACAACCTCAGAAGGTTGAGAGGCCTGTTCATTCGGTGCTGCCATCTGAGGTTTAGCTTTCTCCATTGAGATTGGGACACCATTTGCCCTTGGAGCTGGTACTGGTGGAGGTGTTCTTTCATGAACAACAGAGACAGTGGTTCTTTGAACTTCTGTAGTAACCACTTGAGAGATGAGGTTAGGCATAACAACAGGTGGCTGTGCTGAGGCTGATATGGCCTCAATTATATGGCAAGAACTAGATACATGTTTTTCTGGGCTACAAATTTCTTGGCTTTCAATAGATTCTGTGACACGTGTGTATGCCAGAGGCACCTTGGTTGTTTGAGGTGGAGTTGGGTGTTCCTGGTGCTGTGAAAAGGACTGTGGTTGAGGCTGTGGTTGGTAATAACTTTCTGGCTGAACTTGCTGTGAACGGGGTGGTGGCCCAGGGCTGGAGAAAGCTTGAGTTGTGATACTTTCAACTGGAGAGCTAGGCTGAGATGGCAGTGTGATGACTACATATGTGTCACGAAGATTGCTGGCATATCTTGGAGAAGAAGGAGACTTTGGTGAGGGCTGGAAAGTCTTTCTTTCTGAAGAGGGACTCAGATTGAGGACTGTGTCACTATGACTTGTGGGAAGTACAGTGGGTCTTGATGGATATGGGGCATGAGCAGGTGAAGGTGGCTGTGAACCAGGCTTTGGTGCAATAGGTGGTTTGGTGCCATGTCCTTGTCTGTGACTGTCTCCAATCCCCGGAGGAATGACTGGCTTTGGCGGAACAGGAGGGGGAACATGAGGTTTATATGTTGGAGTAACCGTTTGTCTTACAGGAGATCCTTGTGGTGTAGTCACAGACACTGACTCTGTCTTTTTCAGTGGAACTGGGGCCTGAGATGGGAGAGGAATAGGAGCTTTTCTGGGGAAAACAGTAGGTTTTGGTGGAGTGGGGGGAGGCAGTGGTGGTGCAACAGGTTCTTCTGATTTTTCCTGAGAGTTAGCTCTACGCAAGACATTTGGCTTAGGTGGGACAGGTGGGGCTGTTGACACTACACTTGATATGCTGGGTGTGTACTGGGGGACTGTGGGTAAAGGTGATACACTGGCAATCACAGGGGCTGCTGATCTTGGGAATGTACTTGTTAAGTCTACAATATCAACCTGTGATTCTATGATTGTGGTGTGGGGTTGCTGATCTGACGAGGATAATGGAGAAGACTCAGAAACCTCATTTACAGGCCCAGTTTCCATTTCTGGTTTCATATCTGATACTGTATCTTTCTCTTCTTTGTGACCTGTTGTCTCATCATCAGAGGATAACTCTCCTGAAGAGCACTGAGTCACCTTTAAGTCTGGAATAGGATGGAGGGCTTTTTTCATTGCAGCAATTTCCACTTCTGGCTCAGGCTGAGTTGGACTTGTTCCAGGAGTCAGAACTCTTTTCATTAGCTCTTCATAGGCAGCTTCAGCATCYAACAGTGGTTTCCCATCATTGCCTAATGTTATTGTGCTGTCTTTGGAGAAGGTATTCTCAGCAGGTTGTAGCACAATTTCTGGATTAGGCATGTCACTTTTTGGCTTCATGTTCTCATATTCCTGCTCAAGCTGCATGAACTCCTTTCTCTTCTTTATCATGTCTTCATAAACTTCATCAGGTGACCTAAGCTTTTTAGGCTGAACAGGAACTGTCATTTTCTCTGGCTCTTCCAAGTCAGACGAATTGTCAATAAAAGTTGAGTAGGCATAATCCTCAATAAGCATGCCTCCATAAAAAGACTCTTTTTCAGGTTGAATCTCAACTTTTTCAGCTGTTGGAGACTTAGCCCTCAGCAAAATTTCCTCATATGCCTCATCAGCAGATTTGAGAGGTTTTTTATGTTTATCAGCATTATGATCATCTGTTGGAGAGTGAAGAGACACCGAAGTTGGCAAGTGATATGTTTTCTGAACTGCTGCTATCTTCGCAGCGTGAATTTCAAACCCCTCAGGATCTGAATCGATACTCGGGGAAAAGTCAGAGCAGGATGATCGTCTGATCTCCTCCATTTCTGCTTCTTGCCTTTGTTCTTCGGTTGGTGAGGCATCTTCGATAGGAGAAAGGTTGCTTGGTGGTGTCTTTGAATGTTCTCGCCTCCTCTGGGCTCGAATCTCCTCTTTGTCTTTCTTTGACTTTTTTCCTGAGCTCTTCTGTTTTTCTTGCTCCCTGAGTAGTTCTTCCTCCTCTCGTAACTCTTCTTCCTCAGAAGAGTCTTCAATGGTTGGCAGCATTTGACCAGCTTGTCTATGTTTGGCTTTTCTGTGCTGTTTACCCTCACCTGTACGAATATGGCTTGGACTGCTGTCACTGTCTTCGTCCAGTGATGAGAGGGACGTTGGGGATGTTCCCGGAGTGAAGCTAGATGCATGCAAACTAGATGACCCCTCACCCCTGGATCGGTCATCTGGAGAGTCAGTCAGACTTTCCATTTCTGGCTCTCCATCAGCATTGGGTATACGTATAGGGATGCTGGTTGCGTTAAGTTCCATAGTTTGGAATTTGCGAACTGCAGCACTGCTTTGATTTTCCTCTTCTTTTTGTTCTTGTTCTTCCTTTTTGTCAACTTCAGGTTTATCCAATGTGGCTGTAAGTTCTTTATCGTAATCATCATCTGGACTTATAGTGGTTTTCTTTGTGAGTCGCCTGGCTTTTCCTGATACGCTTTTCTCTACAGTCTCTGTTTTCTTTTGCTCAGTTTGTTTCTTCTCATTTTCTCTGATCTTTCGTCTGACTAGATTTTCTTCGTCAGACGGGGAGGCGTCCTCATTCTCACTCATTTCAATGATCTGTTTTCTGATAAAATCCTCATCCTCCCCTGATATCGGGCTYTCTTTTTCAAAGCTTTCACTGCTATCGTCCAAGGAATCTGCCTTGACATCCATTGGCACAAGGAGCCTTTTCTTTGTGGTACTGTTGTCATTCTTCTCGGAAAGGCCTTTGTCCTCTTCCGAACTTGGAGAATCAGGTGAGAGAGGAAAAACCTCCAACTTTCGCCTGGTCTTTAGAGTATCTGTTTGCATTTTCTCCTCCTGTGTGCTTCCCTGGGCCTCAAGAATGGGAAGAACAGAGCTTTCTAGTTTTGACAAGTCTGAGGGGCTGGTGGGACTGCCTTCCTTGACCTCCACTTTTACTTCAGGCTCTTTTGATGTCTCCATCGTTTCGATCTGATGGATTGGGGAAAAAAAAACAATTATCAACATTTTCAGAAGATTTTCTATCTCAATGTACACCGTTTAATATTACACAAATATTAAAATAAGTGAATAATGATACAACCTATTGCTACATGAGCTAAATACTATTTTCACCTTATTGTCAACAGGCATAGCTTTAGATTCCATTTTCTTCTCCTTGTTCTCTTCATTTGAGCCTTCATCCTGCTCACTAACTACAGACTGGATTTTAGGTTCTGCTACAGGAACTGAAGGTACCAACACAAGTGGACTATCTGATACTTCGTTCTTCTTTGATGCTGTGCTTATTCCTACATCAAACACTGCAGTGCCATCTTTGTGGCACTCTGCACTTGCCTCAGATACTGAAATAGTTCCCTGGCTGTTGCCAACAACAAACTGTGACTCATCCTCTCTCCTGTCACTTTCTGCTTTCCCTCCCTTGATTGACAGCTCAGAATTTTTCTGAGGCTCATTTTGATTTTCAGCAACGTGGCTTGTCATTTGTGAACCAGCCTCCACCTCCCCAGTGGAGCATTTCTCTTCACAGGTTTTATCTCTGAGTTCTGTCTCTGTCAGAGCAGCTGAGGCTGATACCAGCTCCTCACTTTTCACCGGCACCTCATCAWTGACCTTTTCTTGCTCTCTTGGTGTAAAAGATGGGGGATCAGAGAGAACCACTGCTTTGTCAGACATATCATCCACATTTAACATAGGATCTTCAAACGTTTGTTTCTCATTTTTTAGTAAAACTTCCTCTTCTGTGGCTAAATATTTGTCATTTTCTTCCACATGAGTTTTTTTGTCAGGCTCAGACTTGGTTTCTGGTTGTATCTCGTTATTTATCTGCTCAACATCTTTTAGAATTTGCTCTGGGACATTCACAACTGGCCCCCTTGACTTGTCCAATTCATTTCTCTCTATTGAAGGGCAAATGTTTGCTGTGTCACTAGTAGCAGCTTCACTCAACTCTGCTTTATAATCACCTTTATTCAGGAGTTTTGGATCATTTGCCGTCTCAATTATTTTTTGTTCAATTCGTCTCTCTTCTAAAGTCTTCCCTTCATTAGCTTTTACCTCTATAGTGTCTTCATTTATTTCAGAGTGAAGGGATCCCCCATTATTAGCCACTTCAGGTATTTCCTCCTTTGTCATTCTATTGTCAACAACATTCAAAGGAACTGTATTTTGAAAAGTATTCTCTTCTTGAGCTTTCCCAATAACTTGAGATTCTTCCTCTAATGGATCCACAGCAGGAGATGACTTTACTATATCATGAGTTGTAGGTGGCTCATCTGTCTCTATGGGTTTGCTTCCCATTTCATTTGACTGACACGCCCTATCTGAATCTGAGACACATTGTTCTTTTGCCACTATTGAAGGGCTTTCAGACTCTGCACACTCTGTTGGCTTTGACTGGACTTCTAAGTCTGTCTTACCTTCAGGGGTGTCAGTGGAGTCTACAAACGATTCTGGTTCAATTACTGACAACACAGTTTCAGTTACTGGATTAGTGACACCTGATTCAACTCTGTCTGCCCCACAGTTTTCAGTGACGTGGGTTTGGTTGATATCTAAAGCATTCTCTGGTGAAGCTGGTATAACTTGGGGTTTTTCCGTTAGTGGTTCCTCAAGTGTGAGCTCATCTGAATTTGCTGTCACTTCTAGAACATTTTCTGGACTTGGCTCTACCTTCTTATGATCTGCTGTGGGAGTTCCACCTTCACTTTGAGTTATCTCAATATCTGGTTTGTGTTCTACCTCTGCACATGATGTCTTGTCTGAATCTGTGTTAGTCAACTGAGTTTGTTTGTCACTTTCTACAGAGGGGAAACAGTTCTCTGCCATGTTCTCAAAACTACTTTGCTGCTGCTCAACGGCTTGGATTATACTGACAACTGCACTCTGTTCTTGATTGATATTGGGCATCTCTGTGTCATAAAAAGAACGATCCTCTGCTGCTTTCTCAGAGCTGCTCTGTTGTTGCTCAACTGTTGAGATTTCACTGACAGTTAAATTATTTTTTTGATTGTTAGAGGGAGATGCTTCTGTGTCTTCTGCTTTTATCTCAGAACTGATTTGTTGCTGCTCAGTTGTGTTCCTCTCAGCTAAACTTTCAGAATTTAGCAGTTTGTTTTCAGGATGATTCTCAGACACAGATCCATCTACTAACGGCTGCTCTGATTTGTCTGATTGTAGTGTTTCCTGTAAACTGTTCTCAAGAGTAGAGGACATATGTTCAGGTGAAATGGGTGTACTAACGAGTAGGGTTTCAGGTGCTACCTTGGTTTCAGAAGCTGGTGGTGATGGGTCTACTGCTTCTGCTACAGGTTTGCTATCTACAGCAGCTGGGGCAGGGGGGGAGAAGGGGACAGATGGAGGAGCAGGTGACTGCTTCTTTGGGGAAGCCATAGATGGAGGTGGTACATCTCCCAGCTGGCTTGACATGGCTTTCTGGGTCTGGCAATTCAGGCAAAGCCATTCTTTCTGTAAATAAGAAAAGAATAAAAATAATTCACATTAAACATTATAATAAGAAAAACATATATATTATAGTCCTGGCTGTATTCAGAGTCTCACTTTGACAACTCAGGCTGTTGGTGTATCTTTGTCTATTTTAAGAAAAGCTTCTATAATAGTGGGACTGAAGAGATAGGCACATTCATAATGCATGATAATGGGACAGAGGTTTACCAAAGCTCTCCTGAAGGAACTCTGCAGACATTTTATGTGGCAAAAACACAACAGACACTGTCACAGAAAATAAACTTTACAATGTGAGATGCAACTACTTTAATTTCCCATTGAGTTTTATGTTATAGACCCAATAATCTATTTCTATAATATGTTTTTTAGTACAATAATTGGCTACAATTTCCCCACTAAGGCCATCTGGGACATGGTCTGGGTTATATTATATGAAACTCTTCCATTACACAGCTATCCCATCATTAATCTATGTTCCTTTGTACTTGCATGAAAACAAAGCTCTAGAGAATATTTACTGTAAACTGAATGCCCTCATGTGTGCTGTGGTTCAATAGCTTGAGCTATTATTAGGGTTAAACATCTAATGCTTTTGTTTCTAAAGTGAAAAATGATAAACAATCAATATGTTGGGATTGATAAGCAAAAAAAATTGTGCAAACACATCTAAACAAATGTGCAGACATAAATGGAAACCTCATTCAAACATAAACCCAGCTCACATTTCAATCCATCTCCTCTCCACCCACACCTCTGATTCAAGCACATGGAGGAAGGAAGATACGACAAGACAAGAAGTGGGTTAAAGACGATGACCGGGCTCATAGGAGCAGCTCAGTGTGATTAAATAAGACGTGAACTGCCATGTTTCAGTCAGCAAAAATCTTCTACTTTTGGGATAACCACACAGGAAATAAGATGCCAAGACGTAGCAGCAAGAAGGGTTAAACACAATGATAGGCACTGAACAGATGTGTGTTTGAGCATATGACTCAATCCCCCTTAGAGAGAACTGGGTTGGGAGTTAGAATGGTGCTGAAAGAAAATATTAAGCGTGTTCGTTTATCATTTTATGGGCTTGAACCACACCGAAAATGTACCAATGCATGGAAATTGAATTGAAAAGAGTGCATACAACCACACATAGAGCTGCTCGGTCTGAAGGTGATTCATCTGTCAGTGTTCAGGCCCTGTTTTACGGCAGTTCATTCAATACAACAGGATGGACAAGACATGACTCTGCCTATTTTATTACGTCATCAAGAAGGGGTCCCTAATAGCATTGGAGCCATRCCCTCAGACAGAATTTATCTAACTTAATGAAGATTAACGGTTCAGTTATGTGTTGAATTTGTGTTCAGGCATGTATCTACAGAAAATCATCAATTTACGTCAAATAATCACATTTAACAGATATTACAGTTCTCCTAATAATAAGACTATACCATGTGTAGTGTAATTAAGATCAGTATATAAGCAAATCCCAATAAATTTCTTCAGTGCAAATGGTTGCTGATATGAAGTGCTGAAAAGTCACTCCGATTCAGAGCCACTCCAGAGCCTGTCTATCTGTGACGTTATCAAGAAATCACAACAGGCGGGTTTTTATTGCTCCTTCACTCTATCAGTGTGCTTCTTGAAGCGACAGAGCATCTCCTACAGTTTTATAGCACCTTTTAAATTTACCCTCCTAACCTTTAGCTTTTTGTTGACTCTACAAAACATTTCTTATCCACCCATTCACACAAATACTGTACTTTTTGTTCTCTATTCTCTTCACTTTATATATAAAGTGTTTTTTACTCACAATCTAGCATCAGTCCTTGGGTGGAATGTTTGGTTTTGGTAGTTGTTTTACTAGATCATACAATAAAATCCATATTTAGAGTATGTGCTGTGATTGCCTCTAAGATACAACCACACCAAATTTTAGAACATCTGTGAAATTAACTGGATTATAGCGGTTTTTGTGTTATTTGAGGTCAGTTGCCTGTGGCAGCCAACCTGAATCAGGTTGACTCCAAAAGATAATCAGTTGTAGTGATCACTTCAGTTACTATTTCTCTCTGCCTGATCAAAGATGGCACCCGGCAGTAACGGGAATGTCACTCACTCGCCTAACCATGGAGACCGTGACACCAAAGAGCTGACACACGCCAACCCCCACAGAAACTGAATCTGTGATGGTGTTGGTGACGTATCTGGTCATGCAAAAAGCTTTGTAAAACGGTCTGTAAAAATCAACACTTTCATTCTTTCTTTCTACATCTTACACCAGCGCAGGGTCAAACATCAGAGACAAAACTAGGAGACGGCTTCAGTGCAAAGTTTTCCATTGAAACATGAGCTTCCTCTGAGGCCACAAAGAGAAGAAAGTGAGAAAACAGCAGACTGAGAAAGGACTTGGTCGTGTTAGGTTAATGTCTCCTGCTGGGAAGCGAAGTGCTGGAAAGGTTGAAGCAGCTCCATGAATAAGACAAAAGATTCTGCAGCGGATTTACCCCAAATTTAGACAAAACTATACAAKGCTTGCACTTCATTCATATTAGAATTTCTCCTCTGAGTGATCCATAAAGTCTTACTTTAATCAGTGGATCCAGTACAAGATGAAATAATGTGTACAAAAGTAATGTCCCATTCTTGTCTAAAGTAGGATTCTAGATGTTCAACTCTTGGGTGGATTTCTTCCTTCATGATGCATCAAATGTTTTTAATTGGTGAGAGGTCTGAACTGCAGGCAGGTCAGTTCAACACCTGGACTCTTTTACTACACAAATAATGGTACTGAAATGGTTGCAGCTTGTGGTTTTGCATTGTCTTGCTGTCATCAAATTCAAAATTATCTTATTTTTTTCTAAAAGTCTTACAGTTTCTTTGATTAAACATTTGCTATATTTACTATGTTCCAATCGTGAGCAAAATGTAGATTTWTGGAGATTTGTGGATCATTATATTCCGTTTTTGTTTACATTTTACTAAAATTGTCAAAAACATGAGAGAAAACTAAAATCAGGAGAGGGAARCCAGCCTTATGTTGTGAGGTAAAGAGTAAATCATTGGAGGAGCTTAACCAGCATTGGAAACAGTTTAACATCAACTACAGCCTGAAAGCTTCACATTATCACCTTGTAAATCTGCAAATAACCGACGACAGGAGTAACTGCAGTTCACRGTGATTCAGAATGTAGCTGGTAACATTTACACTCATGCAAGCAAAAAGTCCCGTCTCACTTCCATGCTGATTTCTGCAATAAGCAGCATTTCATTACTACTGTATTGGAAAAAAAAACTTTTAGAAACAGGTATCTTTTTTCCCCAGAATGTCACAAAACAATATTTGTAGCCCCCTACTTTCTAAACATACTGTTTCAATAACGTAACTCAAATTCCTCAAACATTCACCAACTTTTATAAAAATAGCATCCTGCTGCATCATGGTTCAAATGTCCTTTCTGTCCCGAAGCTTTCCATATAATTAAAGTGTGTAAGTCGCTGCCCTGCTTCTCATTGATGAGTGACCAAATTAATTAGAATGCGCCAGACTGCGAGCGGGACATTACAGCATCAGCTCCTTTCCAAGCCAAAAAAGATCTTTGTCTTAATAAATGCTGTTGTAGAAGTTCCCTCATCAGGTTTTGGGCGTTGGGTTCGGAGTTTGTTTATTTCCATGCAGATATGTGGATCTAGGTCAAAACTCAGMAAAGAAGCTAATTGTTACACAAGCAGAAGAAGGTATTAATGGCTTAGGTATGGTCAGCTCGTTTTCCTAAAACTTCAAATCCAACAAAGGAGTAACACTTCCACTCTATAATCAACCAGTGGCAGTATCTATATATTTCATGAGACAGAAAACATATTTACAAATCTACAAATGATTCCAAGAGCTACTACAACTTCTCAAATTGTTTAACGGTGCAGCAGCTCTAGCTTCATATGATGTTTCTGTTGATAGGTGCTCCTGATACAACTCACAGGGATGAGTCACACATGCTGAGGCAAATCACAGCAGTCGGGTTGTCACGGTCCGCACTCCTTACAGCTGCAGAAGGTGATGCCCGTATCATTTGTGACACTACCCTCCTCCTCCATCCCCTACTGAACTTCCATTTCTGTCACGCCTTCTTCTCGCCCCTCTCTCCCCTTAATCCACATTGGAATGTTATTTGTTTAAGTTTTAGCTTGCTTTTCACAATTTCACATCAATCAAATCAATCTGTAAATCAAAGAAGACTCCTAGCATCTTACAGGCAATTGTGAAATGTTTTAAATGTGCAAAACGGGCACGCATACTCGAACATTCAGGCTGTGCTGCGAGACTCGCCGCATTTCATTTGGATGCATTTTTAAAGAATCCTGCATGTGACGAAGGACGAAAGAGAGAGCGGCAGCAGTCAGAATGTAACAGCCTGTGCTAACAAGACAAGGCCGGTGCCAGAATCTGTGCGCTTTCAAGTGTCGGCGAGTTTCCGCCTGCCTGTCCTCCGCTCACTGTCTGACAAGGGTTCAGTGCTGGCACGCCGGATGCCCTGGCTTCCCCCCCACACCCCACCCCCACACCCTCGTTGGCACAAAAAGTCTCAGCGGCTCAAAYGAGGCTCTGACTAAAGTGTGCAAAAATTAGCAAATTAGAAAGGGGATGATTGAAAATTGTTTTGAAGTAGACCTGGAGAGGGGAGCTGCACAAAGAAAGCCAAGTGGGAAGCCTAAAAACAGCTAATCGCAATCACAGTAATTAGCTGTGGTAGAGCACTCGTAAAGTTAAAAACATTTAAAACTAAGTAGTAGCAGTGGTTACAAAAAAGGAATTTGTTGGTATTTAGTTTGACAGTATGTATATGGCTAAAATAACCTAAATTACTTGACAAAACCAGCACCAGCACACAAAAATTAACTCCAGAACTAAAAATACTCCATATTCCAAGCTAGTATAGCCATATGGGGACTCTGTGTGTTGTCTAGTGCCACAGAAAAACCTTAAAAAGGAAGAAATATGAAAGAGG